AGGGTTTACTGTGCTTCTGCACAGCCCCTAGGAACTGTCTAGCTTCCTCAGTTTGGAAGAGCCCCTGGAAAAGACTCACTTCTCAAATTGTGCAGCAGATAACCTGGTTTTTTACTGGCCCTGGCAGCACCGTTGGAGAGAATGTTCCTGACAACAAAACGCTAATGGATGGTTTTTCCACAGTGCTTGGCACCAACCTGGTGTCTTTCATCAGGAGGCTCTTTTCCACCTTCTTTTTCACAGACATGCTGGTGGAGACCAGACGGGCAAAAGTCTCCCTCTGTTGCTTGGGTTTCAGTACAGTGTGTTCCTTCGATGATATCTCTGAGTAGTGGTAATGTGGAGGATATTAAAAGATAATGAGGATTTGGTTGGTGAAGGGAGAACCAGCCCCAGAGGATACTGGGGAAGTTGCCTAGAGCTCAATTCATAATCAGATTAGTATCATAAATGTGGTTCAGTTCTACTGGGTAGCTTATGATATGCATGGAGGTTACCGTGGTAAAGAGAACGTTTACTACATTATTCTGAATTAAAACTAAACATTATCAATATCAACTTTTTAATCTGTATTTTCTTGGACAAAAATGAAAAAAAGTGTGCAGGAAACAGATGAGCAGTGCTTCCAGTATGTCTGCTCTAAATAGTTTGCATGAGCCTGTGAGTAACAGCTCATTGACAGCTATGAGGTGTGGTGGTGTATACTGTGTATGAGAATATCAAGGATGAAGGAGAACTCACCTCTCTGTGTATTTTTGGGACTTCAGTTATAATTGGGTGGATAGTATAGAGACACAAGGAAGTCTTCATTTTTAAAGCCGAAGATATCAATCAGTTCTACTCAATAAACATTTGTGGATTGGTAGCCAAGCAGTGTGTAATACTCCGGAAATTTAAACATGAATAAGGTGTGGTCCCCAACTGTCCGGAGCTTTTAGATTTGCAAAGAGGATAGACATAAATGACTATCTGAGGTATGAACCTAGAAAGAATTTTTTTGGCATCAAAGAAAACTTTTGTCAAGAAAAATCAGGAAAAGGTTCAGATGAGTGTGAGTTTTCTTTAAGTCTTTTACTAAGTGAAAATGAAGAGAACAGGCATTATAATTAGAGGAAACAGCACGTGAAAAAGCAGGAGATGTAGGGGAAGATCGTATATTGAGTCTACCGTGGTGCAACATGGAGAACATACAGGAAAATATTTGTAGAAGTAGACAGAGGCCAAGTTTTGAAGAGTCGTGAGTGTTATATAAAGAATTTAGCCTCTTCTGATGAGTAAAACAACTATTCTCAGTTTAGGTAATGAAAGGATAGCCTCCTTAGTGGGACATATTAGAATCAGAAAGAGGAGTTTTTAAATAGTATGTGTTCCTTTGGAGATTCTGAAATGAAACAAATAAAAGCGATGGCCATAAGAACCCACCGATACTGTGAAGTCACAGTATCTCAGCTGCTGCAGTAGAGGAGAATAAAGATAAGTTATGTGGACTGGAATCCAGGGTGTATCTATCTGGGGAAGAGGTAAGAGCCAAAAGTAGAAAATGTAGGTGGAAACAGGTCAATGTGTGTTAAAATTATTCTAGTGTCATTCTTCAGGTAATGGCTAATTATTGAAGAGAATGAAGATATGCATTTATTTTTTGAAAAATCTTCCTGAGTCCATGGCTGGTTAAACTTGGGTCAAAAGAAATCAAATGCATTTTGTTGTTGTCTAGATAAAAGAAAATCTATGGAAAGGAGTCAGAGAAATATATGAAACTCACTGAAAAATTGCACATTGAGACTGAGAGAGGGAAAGGAACTCAACATGATACCAGGGTCTCTGGCTGTTGGTTGGGAGGTGATGATGTCATTAACTGCAGGAGTAATTTCAGAACAGGAAAACTTGGGATTTAACAACAATGAACTCACTTTTAGACATGTTGAGTCTGAGAAGGAGGATTAAATGCTCAGGTAGATTAATCTGAAGGGTAGTTGGAATAGTTTTAACATACCACTTTAAAGTCACAGGCATATAATGAATGAATTTCATTTACTGTATGAATACATGAAAATACCTAGAAAGACTGTAAATGGAGGGAAGAATGGCATAAAAATGCCCAGGGACCAATATTCAAGGGCAAGATGAATCCATATGCTGATTAGAGAGAGAGGGAAAAGGGGTAGAGGGAAGGAGTGGGGGTTGGCATCAGAAGTCCAGGGCAACACAGAGAATATCAAGGCACAAACAAATAATGAATGTGGCTGAGGGGGTAAGACCGCTGAAAACTGCTAATGGAACATAACTCTCAAATCATGGTGTTCCACTAGATTAAGAGGACAGAAGCCAATTGTAATCCGTTGAAAAGTGAATGGGTGAGAGAAGAAATAAAGAAAAGATTGAATGTGCTTTTTAAAAGATCTGTGAAAGAAAAGTGGCATAAGAAAGAACATGATAGCTATAAGAGGTCAGAGGAGGATTTGGATATTTTAATTTAGCTTCAGAAGCATAGAGCAGGTTAGATAGAGCATTGTACTGGGAGGGATGCTAAGTCCAAAGAAAGCTAATATGATTCCTGGTCTTGGATCTGTCAGGTATTCAAAAAAACAGCAGTGATGACAGCAGACTTATACATTACTATGTTACAGACACTCCTATGTTTTCCCTTTCAGAGACACTGTGTGAAGTGGATCCTATTATTACCTCCATTTTACTTGTAAGGAAGCTGTAGTACGGAAAAGTTAAATAACCTACCCAATTTGCATTCTGCCCATTATATGAAACACATGCATTAAATCAGAACCACCAAAATGATGTAAAGGCATACGCAGCCGATTTAGAAGATTTTTGGTTGAAAGGTAGAGGCCAGAGCCTTTGTGCAGACATACAGCCAGTTTTCTTATAAAGGGAAAGTTTCTCCATGGAGTTTGTCTTTTCACATCCTTAAAAAGATGGAGACTGAGTAAAATTATTTTCCCCTCAATATTACTTGACTCTTAGCCTTCTTGGAAGAAGGTTTAATAGGAAATACCAACCGAGAGTTAGTTTGTAGTAACAGAACAAAACTAGTTATGAGAATGGAGTTAAAGTGTTGGTGAGTAATTCAGGGTGGAAATCAGGGTAGAAAGAGAAAAAGCTGAGAGAGATGAGGATGACACATACTTCACTGAAATACACAGATCTTCACCACATATGGATGAAACCTGAAACTGCTTTCATGAAGTTAGTAATAGAAGTCATGAAAACTTGGGGGAAACTTTTGTATTTGTACGATATTCCTCATTTTCATGGCTTCAGCTCTTCCTTGCTTTTATGCCTATCACTCAGTGGAGGTAGCGTTATTTCAAAATTCCAAGATCAGAAATTTGTTGGTCTCTTACCCTAAAATTATCATTACTAATGCATTTACTATGGTCCAGGCATAATGCCTACACTTTTAGAGGAAATATCTCATTTTACTTTCGTAAAAGCCATGGAGATGTTATGTTTTCCCCCTTCAAAAAGCTTGGGGACATAGTATTTTCTGCCTAAAGTTATAGAGCTAGCAAGTGGCTAAGACAGGATATGAGTAGGGTAGTGTGAATTCAGACTCATGCCCTTAATCCTCTGCACTGCACAAGAAATAAAGGGACCCTTCCCTTGCCACTTCCTTCAGAGTTGGCGCAGGTCTACTATGTCCGTATGTAAGAAGATTAACTATGGAAAATCCTCTTTATGTTCTACTGACCATAACTAGTGAGAGGTTTCTTCATGGACATGAATATTAGAGAAAAGTTGAACCTAGTTAAAAAAAAAAGTAAAAAATTATCTTCATGAAGATAGAAAAGCTCCTTATTCTTTACCTTGCCCAACCAGGCCTTTTTTTTTTTTTTTATTATTAATTTTCTCAGTGTAAGAGAGTTCTGGACTAGTGTATGATTCAATGTCACAGATATTTTGGGGGTCAAATTAAAGTGAAGAAAAGGTTAGCCATGAAGAAGGCTTTTAAGACAGTGGTGGTAAACATAACCCACAGGGGTTTTCCTCCCCCTTTCTCTTCAACGCTATGTCCTTCCTGAGTTCGCTGCTGGAACACAGAAATAAAGATAATACTGTCACTGATTTCATCTTGTGGAGTTAATAGTTTGATGGAGGAGGCAGAAATTATGTAACTTCACCAAAATATTTAATTACTAATATATTGGCTCTTGGAAACTAATAATTCTCCAATTTGATTCCTTTTGCAAACCCACATCAGCTCTATGCTCATGAGTATAAAACTATGCACTCAATGCATTAAAATAACTGAAGAAACATGTACTGAAAAGGCTTCTGCCTTATAAAAGATAATTTGGAATCTAGTAAACAAAAATGGCATATTTTAATATCATATTCTAAGCATTTATACTGGTCAGTCATTATTATGAAACACACAAATACCGATCTTTTTTTTAAACAAACACATACATTTAGAAAATAACACAAAAACAATACAATCAATACAGAATTTGATAGATTTGATATGGAAACTTTTTCAAATACCCATCATTGCTCTTTTATGTCTTGTGTTTCTACTGCATCGCCCTGGACATCTACCAAAGGAGATATTCTTAGGGAAGACTGACAACAGCAGCTCTGCACCAGAAGGATCTCCAAATTGGATACTTTTCTTTATCATTTTCTTTTTCCCAACCCAAACTAAAAGTTATGAAGGATACATTCAGGCATTCCAAACTTTTATTAAAAGCTTTGTTTTGCATTTGACATTAAGCCGGGTGAAAGTTCTTGGGTAAGACTTACTCCAAGCCTTAATCCATGGGAATGATCTCCCGTGAGCTCAGATTGGATAAAATTACCCTTCAATTCGCATCTGTTTACATTTTGGGAAGATTTCACACCCTTTTGGATGATAGAGAGAAACCTATTTCTCAGCATTTACGCGGGCTGATCTCCGGCATACTGATGGTATTATTGCATTTGTTACTTCCGATACTTTTTTTTTTTTTTTTTAAATAAATTCTTGGACTCCTGTTTTCTTACAGGCTCAGTTTGAACTTCAGGCGTTTCATATCCGGGGTGAACATGCAGCGATCACAGCGCGGCTGGAAGAAACCATTGAAAACCTCAAGCTCCAGTTAGAACAGCGCTGGCGGGGAGGATGCGAGGAGCTGAGGGATGCCTGCGTCTCCACCGACGACAGCTGCGCTCCGAAGGCCTACAGAAATGTGTGCATCCAGACAGACAGACAGTCCTTCCTCAAACCCTGTGAGGGCGACACCAAGACGCCCAGAAGTAACCAGATAGTGCCCAGAAAGCTGAACATCTCCTCTTTAAGCCAGCTCTCTCCCCCAAATGACAACAAAGACACCCACGCCCCACTTCAGAATGGGGAAAGCATCTCACCAAGTCACCCAAAGACAGCACCTCCTCCTCCCCCGCCGCCCCCGCCCCTTCCCATACCGCCCCCTCCGCCCCTCCCACCTGGTCCGGGAGCTCTGCCGCCTATGCCCCCAACACCAGCTTTGAGTGCCAGCCCTCCGCCACCACCTCCTCCTCCGCCTCCTCCACCGCCCCTGCCTCCAAGTGCTGGGCCTCCGCCGCCTCCTCCACCACCGCTTCCAAACCCCCAGGCTGTGCCTGGCAGCGGGGCCCCTCCTCCTGCGCCAGCACCCCTGGGACTTGTACCCCCACCTCCTCCTGGACTCTTCTTTGGACTCAGCCCTTCCTCCAGCCAGGCCCCTCGAAAACCAGCCATTGAGCCCAGCCGTCCCATGAAGCCTTTGTACTGGACTAGAATACAGATAAGCGATGGGTAAGCACCTGCGCCCTAGTCGCATTTGTGAATTTCTCGGATTTTCCCAAGTGATGTTTTAGTCCTGTCAGCTTAGCGTCTGCATGGCGTGGGGCCCATCCTCAACTGCAGTGAGATAAAAGGTGAAAGCATCCGGGGTTTGGGGAGAATGGATGTCTCCACCAGATCCTTTCTGTATTTGGGACAAACAGGGGGCTCTACTCCACAGCTTCAAGCTGTCCAGATCTAACTAAGAACTGCTGCGGTATCACCCATTGCAGTCAATGAGGAATTATAAAGAAACTGGGTCCAAATCTATACTATAGGTTTAACGAGGGTTTTTAGAAAGTATTTTATGAGATACTTCCTTGTTTTTAGATTGTAGCATCAATGTAATGAACTAGATATTTAACATTTTTAATTTTTTTATTTAAAGGAGGAGACATCGGAGTTATTAGTTCCTCAACTCTTAAAAGAGCTTAAAATATAAATTTTCTCTGCTTGAACACTATTTCATTTAAGTGCTCATACCTTTGCATTTTTATTCCTTGTGAGAGAAAGTGTCAGTGTGTGGACAGTGTGTCCGTTACTTTCTCTCATTGCTGACACTCAAAATTAAGGGAGGAAACGTTTATTTAGCTGATGGTTCGTGGAGGTTTTAGTCCTTAATCGGCTAGCTCCAAAGCAGGGTGGCATAGCAGAGGGGGAACAGTTCAAGGCGGCAGAAGATAGCAAAAGCAGTAAGAGCAAATGGAGGAAGGGCAAGCCTCTTTTCCTCCCTTCTGTTGTAAGCAGGCTACCTCCCAATGCCCAGGGCAGGTACAGCACTCACATCTCCGTGCTCTCCTCTTGTACAGGATGAGAATGTTTACAAAATGAGGACCCTAATCCCCTGCCAAGTCCCTTGGTTAAACTTCTAAATTTCTCAAGTTGGCACAGGGTATCAACCATTACAGAAAACAAAAGTGGAAAGTACCTTTCATGTGTCTGGTGGTTGTTGGGCTGGATCTATAAGTCAGGAAGATATGGTGCCTTGGAAACTTCCACTCATATTGGAGTCTGACTTCTGCTTCATTCCTGACCCTGTCAGGAGGACAGTGAGAGAGTGTCTCTTGACGACTTCCTAGTTTTGAAGTTTACTTGTTCACAAAGATCACATAATAGAAAACATTTCTAACCTCATTATGCAAGTCAAGATGTGGTGGTGAATTTTTAAATTTATGTGGTATTTTGCTTAGGGAAGGTGGGCTACTAACAAAATAACATGTAATGGGAAATCACCATAGGAGGAATCGAATAACTTAAAACTAAGCATATGGAGTATTTCACATTGTCCCCTTTCCTCTCATCAGGAAATACGGGCTAGGAGTTTATTTGTAGGATATCCTAATATATATTTTTAAATAGTGATACTATGTAATTTCCCAAGTGAATGGTTAAGAACAGTGAGGAGGTCCTGAAATGGCTCCTACCACTAACGGAAGTGTTAGAGCTCTCCTTTGCCATTCACAATCCAGGTATTTCATAAGAAACAATTTCCCAGGGTATTTCATTTGAGTTGTATTCCTTTATTACTGTGTTCAAATCAGTGTGTAGTCATTCCAGGGTGATGGGTCCTCCCTGTCAGTCCCGGTGCAGTGTGTTCTGGTGGAACATGGAGCTCTTTCACACCTGTGACTTACTCCTTAAACTCCACTTCATTCCCTAAGAGACTGTATGGGCCACCATTGTCATAGAGTGTAGCACCATCTGACAGTCCCACTGGGAGACACAGCCCCCCAGACTCCCTCTTCAAGGTGGGCAAGGAGAGGATAATCATTCACTGCAGTTTTTTTCCTTCTTGTGTGGTGGGCCATTTTTGAGAAGGAAAACAATTGAATATTCAAGGCCTCCTTAGTCTCTCCATAAATCTAGGACTTCACTTTTGAGTGAAATGAAATCAGTGAACGGGATGTCAGCAGACCCTTGCTTGGTTTGTGTTTCAGCTTGGACCCAAGCTCTTCAGTGTAGGGGGCTGCCTCTGTGCGCTAAGATCCCTAGCATGGCCACTTCCTGCCAGCACTGCACAGTCTCTTTCATCTGGGGTTCCTCGAAATATTTTGTATTGTCGAGTACAATTACTGTACTTCTTTTCAGTAAAAACAGTGGTACCTTGGTTCATGAATGCTTTTGTTTGTGAGAAATTTGATTCGTAAACAGAAGCATTTGGTGAAATTTTGTTTTTGTTTATGAACTCTGAGTCCTGCATCGGCTGTTGCTTTTCCAGAATTGTGGAATGGATTACATTCGTGGACCAAGATACCACTGTAATCTAAAGAATCTGTATAATATTCATTGGTGATCAAAAGTATAATCATGCAGGAGGTGTTCTCTTAACAGAGGTAAATTGCTATTTTAATAATCTAAGAGGCAGACACTTTATATAAGGCATATGTGATAAATTTTGGTTTATCTGGGGAACCAAGGGCAAAATGTGATTGCTCTTCCCTGCTTTTACTATTGCCTTTTTCTTTTGCCATTTTTCCACCTTTGATATCTGTTTTATGATTTCTAGAATAGAAAAGGGATATCTATTAAAGAAAAGGAAATCATCACCTATGTTTTCAGCTTCCTAATAAGTTTTTACTTTTCCTTCTCCTTGCCTTTCCCCCTTTCCTTCCCTTTCAGCTAGAATTGTTGTTCAAGATCAGAAAGCAGTTGACCCTTGCAATAGGTCATTCACTGTGAACAAGTTCTTGTTATTGCTCTACCAAATGCCAACTCTTTCCAACTCTCTGAGGGTATGTGTTCCAAAATGCATTTATCCAGAATTGGAAATGCCATCCCCACAGAAATGATGTGTAAATGGTGCTCACCTTGACTCCCAAATGAAATTTACACCAGTGTTCATTATCCTGGCCTGACGTCTACATCCGTGGTGCTGGGACAGGAGAGCAGGTGTTCCAGAGTGCAACGGTTCTGCATTGTTTGCCTGACCACAGTGTTATTTCCCTTTACGCACCTCCTTCTCAGCTGCCTAGAATCCTTCTGAAGCATGGACAGTGGCCCTTAGCATGCTATATGCTCCAAAGTACCCTGGCTCTCTTTCCCAATTAAGATCCCCCTTTTTCAGTGCAGCTGAGGTGAGCACAAAACAAAATGGTGTCTGTATTTCAAGTTGAAGTTAATTGAATGGCAGAAGGCTGTGACTGAGGAAGGCTCACATCAAAGGTGGACACCCTTCGTCAGCATTATTTTAGCCCTTGGGCTAGCCAGTGGCTTCCCGAGTGTGCTTTACATTGTTATACTTTATAACTTACATGTCATGTATATATGATTTAGTGGTTCAGATAGTATCATAGAAAAATTATATTTAAAAAAGGCAGCAAAAAGTATAGAGAAGTAAATGTAGCCAGAAATAAAATAGTGGGAAAAGCAGACCTAGCAAAATATGTACAAGCAGCCCTGAAAAGCTAATTTTGCCAACTATTTTGAAGATGAAAATTATCTTTTATAAAAAAATTTAATAGTATAATAAATGTACTTACTATATATGATATTACATGTTACATATAATAGTAGTATTTTTAGTTTTCAGGGACAGAAAATATGTATGAAACAAAAGTAAATACTTGTAGGTATTACAGATCATAGCATATACATGTGTTTGAAAAACAAAAATGTAAATGGGAGTTGTTTTTCTGTCTGTGGGTATTAAAAGGGCATAAAATTAGGAGAAGTTGAGAAAGGAAGCTAAGGAGGCAGGAGTTGGGGGATGTGTTCTAACTGGGAGAGCTTGGAGAGCAGACCCTGGTGCAGTTGGCTCTCAGAGGCTGTGCTGATGTACCTGATTGTCAGGAGCTTCTCTTTCCCTGCTTCAGAACAAGGGGACACTCATTTCTAGAAAACAGAACACAATCTCTCCGTGGCTACTCTTGTTGAAATCTCAGTGGGCTAGTGCCTGGGAGGAGTTATATGGTTTTATTGTTGTTTGGGGGTGAGATATAGTAACTTCGCTCATGGATCCAGAGTGTTCATACCTTAAACCTTAAGGGCCAGGAGAAAACATCCAGGCAGATGCAGGTCTTTACCTTCCTAGTCCAGCTTTAATCCCTTTAAGAGATGTCTTACCCCTGTTTCAGAATTGGTTATCTCTTCCCTCTTTAGACGACATGCACTTTTGCCTATCAAGGAAGTGGCACAGATGGAGGAAGGAACAGCTTGTATGCCCCAGCAGTAGAAGTCTCAGGGTTTCTAAGTGCCAAGGGTCTTCTTTAGTGTTCTCTAATTATTTCTAACAACCATGGAGATGTGCATATGTGTGCTTCAATACTCTATGGTATATTGTGACCTAAACATGTGTTCTTCAAGTTTGTTAGGGTTTTATATATTTTCTTTAAAGATGAAATAAAATAAATCAGAGACATATTTTATTGTGATAGTGTCTTCTGTTTTGGTTCATAAAATAAACTTGTTTTTTCTTTTAAGCCAAAGTGCTGCACCAACCTTATGGGATTCCTTAGAAGAACCTGACATTCGGGACACTAGTGAATTTGAATATTTATTCTCCAAAGTCACAACTCCACAGAAGAAAAAGCCTCTTTCAGAGACCTATGCAGAAAAAAACAAGGTCAAAAAGGTATGCAGTAACTATAATAATAGTTGTAAGTATATATACATTTGCATTATCCATGAGAATTCACTGTGTTCTGTTTTTCCTCTGTTGTCAGAAAATGTTTTGGAAGTGTTTGAGTCATAGATGGCAAAAAGGAGCCAATAGTTCAATAAATCTTTATAAGCTTAATAAGCTATCTTGATGTAATCTTCTGAATTTTAAAAAATTTAATCTGAACTCTTCCAGCCATTCATTCTGTTGAAAAAGTCATAGTTATTTTACTATCAGTAAAAGTAGTTTGTGGGCAATATGAAAAATAGATCCCATCATTCAGTGCATTGATTTAACAAATATTTTGGGGAGGTGTAGGCCTTGTTTTGGCCTAGCACTTCATAGTACAGCAACATGCACCCATTTGAATAATAAAATTACATAAAATAGAAAATTCAGATCTTCAGTTGCACTAGTGATCAGTCGGTGTTCACCAGAGAAACACATTAATATAAGATGTATGTATAGGGTTTGCAAGATCAGCTTACAGTGGCTGCCCTCAGAGTCAAGTATGGAAGAGTACAAATGGCTGCCTGGGCACTGGGGATCTGAAGGATCCAATCAAAGGCCCGAAGCTCACTGTAGTATCCCCTGCAAGTCCACATCAGGAGGCTGAAGGGTCTGCAACAGAACGCTGAAGAGTCAGCGCTGGAAGCCAGGAGACGTCATCCAAGGTTAAGGGGAAGACTGGAGCCCTTCTGAAGAAACAGAGGGAGGCTTCCTTTGTTTCCCTTTTATTCTGTTTAGGTGACAACCTACTGGTTGGTGCCACTCATTCCCAGGGTGGGTCTTCTATCATCGGTTGTGCCCAGGATTTTCAGCCACAGCCTGAACTATGTTGATCCAGTTTAGGTGGGCATTTCTTACTCAAGTTGACAAAATCAGTTAACTATCACAGCTAGTCACTTTCAAGTTTCGTTCTTGTGCCTCATGTCTACCATATTGGATAGCACAACAATCAAACATTTCCATCATTATAAAATGTTCTATTGGGCAGCACTGTCTTTAGTATTGGGAATGTGTTAGTGAGAAATACACACACACACAACCACACACCCCTGCAGGCCCTTGCCCTTGCCCTTGCCCTGTGGAGCTCATATTAGCAATCAGTGTTGAAAACAAGCTGTGTGAATCCCACAGAGCGGCAGGGTAAGGAGGATCTGCTTTGACAAGGTGGGAATGGGGTCTGTGATTTTAAATGAAGTTTTCAAAGTAGACCTCTTTGAAAAGAGACTTCTGAGAAAAGACTCAAGGACTTCGAGGCCTATGGCCACCATCTTCTGCAGGAGTTTAAGATCATCCAGTAGCCAGGTGGATGTGATCTGCTTCAAAGACCTTATGCCCTGGCACTCTCCATGCTTTAGGCCCTAAACATAACACAAGATGACATGCACTGTGGTTTGGATAAGCATCCTGCCAAGGCCCGTGTATTAAAAGCTTGGTCCCAGGATAGTGCTCCTGGGAGATAGTGGAACCTTTAGGAGGTACAGACTAGTGGGAGGCCCTTAGGTCGTGTGGGGATGACCTTGAAGGGGACTGGGAGACAATTCTTTTCCTCTGTCTGACTTCTGGGCCATGAGGTAAGAGTTTTGTTCTGCCCTGTGTGCCTGCTATAATGTGCTGCCCCTGCCAGATGCCTAAAGCACTGAGATTACCTTATCTTGAAATGGAACCTCCAGAACAAAGAGTCAAAATAAATCTTTTCTCTTTATAAGTTGAAGATTCAGATATTTTATTACAGTAACCAAAAGATAACATAATGTCCACTCATAATGCCGCTCTGAGTGATAATTAAAGCATGTATCAGGTTCATTCATGAGTTATCTTCCCTCTTTTAAATATTAGCTATAATTAAAAATTAAATACTAATTATGCCAAACTTGTACTGCAGGCTCAGATAGGTATCATCCTTGTCTGTGACACCACAGCATTCTGCTCCTATAGGCACAGCAGGAACCAATTTGAGAGCCAGAGCTTGGTGGTAAAACCAAAAGTTGGTACCATGTCATTTTTGCTCTTATAGACTGCAGGCAAAGGAGGTAATTTAGCCTTCTCACACTGATTTTTTTCTCCTTAATACTGGGAATATTATGCCTTTATCAAAGCTGTTAGGAGAATAAAAGGAAATTATCATATGAAAATACATGCAGTATTCTGCCTTAGTTTATGCAGTAATGTGAAAGCCCTGGAAAGAAAATATTGAATCTCACTGACTCCTGAAGTTGTCATGCTTTTAAATAATCAGTGTCTTCATTCCTGAAACTCTTTACTAATGGCAATTTCTAGATCACTCTTGGCTTTCAATGTTTACAGAAGCATTCTACAACTTCCTTTGATGGCACATTCTAAGACCTAGTAGTTTATTCAGGTTAGTTTATATACCATCCTTGAACCGCAGTAAGAGTTTCCACTGTCAATGTGCCCATATTTACACTGTCCCTAGGTTACATTTGTTCCTGAGCAAGAAAGTCAGCACCTTGACCAGGATCCAAAAATCTCCCTGTATTGTCTGAGATTCTCCCTATTCCTGTCGAGAAAATAGCTACTTTGATAAGTTTTCCAATTGCACTCTAAACTTGCCCAGCACTTTCTGAAAAGCAGTGTGACCTGCCAATATTCTGCCTCTCTTGAGATGCCACAGTCTGACTTTGAATTATAAATCATATCCATATCCTCCCTTCGTTTCCTTTTCTGTAAGATGCACAAAACATTCCTTTCCATCTGTCTTTGTAGTAGATATTTCCTAGGAACTAATGAGATGCTGGGTGTTCTCTACTGGCATTCTGGAGGCAGGGGGGTTGTGATGGTTTGGCAGACATCAGTCTGTTGAAACGTTCAAGTGCCAAAGCTCTTAGACATAGATTGTAATTTGGTCACTTCGGTGAGGATCATAAACAGATTTTGTGTCTCTGTTTATTGTGGAAGAGAAAGGGGTGAAGGAGAATATTGTTTGGAAGCCTAAATATAAATTTATAGAGTTTTAATAACATGTTGCTTTCTGAGTTTATATTACTTCAGCTCTTGTGACAAAGATAATTTCTCTGGGTTGGGTTGGAGGTGAGTTTGTCTATCCTTTTAAATTTTCCATATGTTTTATAAGTGAGTGGTAGGATTAGGGTGGTCATCTGTAAAATGTCCGTGTGTCACTTGTCTGAGTGTAAGCCTGGGATTGTAAGTGCTGCGTTGTCCGGGTCCCTTGAGTAGGATCTGGAATGGTCAGGGTTTTCCTGTTCTTCAGTTCAAAGGACCCTGAGGACCACATTTAAAAAAAAAAAAGGTGGCATCTACTCCATGACAGGCTCTAGTCTACAAAATTCCAGCTTGTAAATTTTGTTTCGCAATGAGAAGATCCCAAAAGTTAAGTTGAACGTTTACTTTATTTGCTTATTTTTTTTAAAAAAAAGTGGTTAAAGGTTGTCAAATGTGAATATCAATGATGCTTTCAGAATGTCGAATGTGAATATTATTCTTGGAGTTCAACTATGTTTCTCTTGTTGGCTCTTGATAGTTATTTAATCTGTATTTGTACCTCAAGCCAACCGCAGTGTCTTAGGGATGCTTATTACCTGCCCAGACCACAAGAGGGCACCTTAGAACTCTGAGATCCAGAACTAAACGCTCTTCTATCTCAGATCATCCAGAAAGGGAACCTAAAAGAGAGAAACTGCTCCTCAGCACCCTCTTTATCCTGTTAAGCTCTTTACTGTGGACCTGGAGACCAAGTTTCATAGCACATTACCCACACAGAATACTGGGAGCCAGGCACATATTAGAATGGTTTGCAGGGATAAGTAAAATAAACTCCCTTCCAGCCATACAGTTCCAGTGAGCAGAATGAAGGGCTGCAGTGTTAACGTTTATGAAGTATTAGACCTAGCTCTTTGGGGACTTGTTCCAGAACCTGCTCCCACCTCACCCCACACATCTTTAAGATCTTCCATGTAAAGAAAGTGAAGAGTTATTTGAATATAGATTTAGGGTCATCTAATTAGAAAATGCCAAAAAGTAGGATTTGATATTACAAGTTATGTATAAGAAAACTGTTCTAGATACACTTTTTTTTGAGGGTTTCACTATGTAGTTCAGGCTGGCTTTGAACTCAATATGTAGCCCAGGCTGGCCTCGAACTCATGGTGATCCTCCTGCTTCAGCTTCCTGAGTGCACCACTGTGCCTGGCTCTATGTATTTTTTAAAACAGTATTCATCCTTTCTCCCTAGTTGAGGGAAGTTTTGAAGTCTCACTCATAATTTCCAGAACCTCCGTCATTTATCCTCAGCACATGCTATTTTCTGAGACCCTGGAACAGGCTGAAGTTCATTAATGGCCTGGGGCTGAGGACCTGTGATAGGTCCCTGCCCCTGGCAGTGGTTCTTCTGGCTTCCAGCTTTAAGTTAGAAATATGTTGAGGATATAACAAGAATAGGGGAAGGTCCTATATGTATACTTCAGTTATAAAGTCAGGTTTCACGGATCTTTCACAACTGACTTTGTAAATGCTTTGCAAAGTACACAGATCTCCCAAGTACATGGAGGTCATAACAGCCCCTTCGTGTGTACCTGTCCTCTAAGGCACATGCTTAATATGAACAGAAAGAAGTCTCAACAACCTTAGATTTATTTGTATTTTTCAAGTGAGATAATTGCAGATTTTACTAAGAGTAATAACGTTAAGTGGTCTTGGTTAAGTTGCCTTTTGCATGTATTAACTTATTTAATCCTCACAAGAACCCAAAGAGATGGTTACTATTATTAACTCCATTTGTATGAGGAAACTGAGCCTTGGGTAATTTGCTCAGCACCACTCAGCTCATAGGTGGAAAAGCAAAGGAGTAACTCCAGCAGCAACCCCAGAACTTGTGTTTTTAATTACTTGAAAAATAGCGTGTTCGTCCAAATTTAAGTACAATCTTGACTTTCCATTCACTTGGCAAAGCCAGAGTTTTATTTCCCAGCCGTTGTCTAGTGAAAGAC